GGCTCGGAAAGGGAGGGCGCTGCGCAGGCCGCCTCCCCGCCCCCCGCCGGGGTTTGGGGTGTCCGGTAGCTCAGGAGGTCTCCGGGCAGCCGGGAGGGCTGAGCTGGGCCCACCGTGTGCCCGCGGCCACCTTCTTTGAGCTGAGGCCTTTCCTGGGTGGGCCCCGTGCGAACAATAGATGCTGGGGGATAACGGGGCGGGGGCCTGTCCTGTGCCGCAGGCAGGTCGCTGAAGCGCTGAGATCTCAAGAACAGGCTTTATGCTTGTTTGTTTGTTCTAAATTTTGCCTCAAACTGGGCTAGCTGGCACCTTGTGGTTCTTTCGTGGTGTGGGCCTTGAGTGGTGGCTTCCAGCTTGCCCAGTGACTCTTTTTGTTTGGTTGGTTGGTTTTTTGAATGAGTGTTTTTTGCATTTTTCAAATGGGCTTACTTGTTTAGCTCAGTGGCGTGAGTTCAGAGTGCGATTTCAGTGCTGTTGTGATGATCAAGTTTGTGGCGAATTCCTGATTTTCTTTCTCCTTGCTCAATTCAGGACTTCCCTATTCTGTGCCAGACATGTCTTGGAGAAAACCCGTATATTCGAATGGTATGTGCCTGTGGGGCCGTGCAGCCCTTTCCTCTGTGTTGGCCCTGGAACTGTTGGGTTTTGGGGACAAAAATAAGCCTGGCTTCAGGAGGAGATGCTGAGGTGGAAGTGCACTCCTAAGTAGTTGGTTGTGCACAACAGGATTTGGTTCCAGCTCTTGTTGCTATGTGATATTATGGTGTTAGGTACATGAATTCAGAAAAAAATAGGTCAAAAAGGAGAACAAGATGGTATAGTCTAATGTCTAGTGTGCAGGAAGTATTCGAAAACAAAGCTTTGGTATGATAAATCGTGTGACATGGAGAACAGTGAGCTGCTGAAATATTAAATAGCTGAGCACAGGTTCTAAAACGTGGAGGAATATGCACCTGTAAAAATAAGTTAAAACTGCCTTATGAAGGCTGCCCGAGGGTAATTTAAATCCTTGTTTGTTTACCTTGGTTTCCTCCGTGCAGGTTGGGTCAGTCCTTTTGATGTTGCTTTTCTCTGTCCTACATTTATATTCTCTTCCCTTCACGTTTCCATTCCACCAAATTTGCTGTGAGAGATTATTTTTGCGAAACATAACCCTACTGCCAGGGTAGGTGATAGCTCAAAACCTGCTTGTTTTCGTGGACTTATTTCATGTAAGGTCATCTTTGCTTTAAAATAGCAATTATTATTCCATTTCATTATGAGGTGGGACATATAATACTGTGCTTTTGATGAACGATTCTGAAAGAAAAATGAATTGAGAGTTCTTTAGAATTTTTTTTGTCCCATTGACCTGCCACGGTGTGAGCCCAAAACACGGGGGTGGGTGCATGATTAGGAAAAATACACAGTGCTATAACAACAATGATATGTTTCATGTTTTATGCTGAATTGATGGTACTTCATATTTTCTTTTATTGTTTTTGATTATATTTCAGACCAAAGAGAAATATGGAAAAGAATGCAAGGTATGTTTGTCGTCTTTTGAAGAAAGAACTAAATTGGCTCACATCTAGGAGTAATAAATTTTAATATTAAAAAACCTGTCAGCTTCAGGAAAATGCTTATCTGGGTTAACAGCGTGAAATATTTCTGTAACTACATACATTTTTAGGTCAGTCTGCTGTGGGCTTTGTTAGACAAAGTCTGTTGGTCTTAAAATAGTAAAATTATTGAAGGCTGTTCAGACAGACTTGGGATTTGCTCATGTTTATCAGAATTAGGTTTTGTGAATATTGTTGTACTATATCTGAAGGTTTTTATGTTAAGGTACAATATTCAGCATTTTAAATGGTCTCGTATTTCCTCTTGCAAGTTTGTTTTTACTTGTAAGCGGTGCATAAATAACAAGTTTAGGTTTTGCTATGAATATGTTCTTCATGGCTACCTGGTGATTTGTGTTAGCTAAAAAATAAGCCACATTTATTTCTGAGAGAGCAAGAAATATTTAGTGTTGTCTTGATTGAGGGAAATTAAGGGAGTTTTTTGCCCCTTTTATCAATTGTCATCTGCGGTAAGGAGAAGATATGTGTTGAAATCTTGCTTCCCTTCCTCAAACTGCACAGGCAGCAGAAGCAGATGCATCATGAGATGCAGATAAGCTAGAGAGCAGTGGCCTTGTTCTGGACCAGAAGCCTCATAACCTCTCACTGGCCTTGCTGCTGTGCTGGTGGCTGATTTACACATAACTGGTAATTTATCTCTAATAGCTCTATGCTGACATCGCCTGGAATGAAGGAGAATTTCTTTTTCCTTTGAATACGTCTGCTTTCAGCGTTCAGGGTATTGTAATAAATGAAAAGAAAAACACAACAAGAAAAAAACCTTCCTAAAATTTTCTTCTGTCAAAGTCAGGCACCAAATGGAAACAAATATTTCTGGAGGTCTGAATCTTAGCGCTGAGATGAAGAAGTTGTGTTTACGGTTTAAAGAGATTAGGTGTGTTTGGACCTTGAAGTTTCCACACAAGAACCAGAGCGGGACCTTCATTGCTGCGTGATGGTGATACGAGCGTTGGCTTTGTCCTCCAGATCTGTGCCAGGCCTTTCACAGTGTTCCGCTGGTGCCCTGGGGTGCGCATGCGTTTCAAGAAGACAGAGGTGTGCCAGACGTGCAGCAAGCTGAAGAACGTCTGCCAGACCTGTCTGCTCGACCTCGAGTATGGTGTGTACCACAGCATGTTGACCGAGAAAAGGCGCTGGTCTGCTTCCCTTGGGAATGGAAGCTGGTGACGGGCCTTTGAGTGTGGGCATGTGGTTGGCACGGTTGTCTCTGGGCGGGCTTCGGGAAGAGTAAGCATTGATGATGACACCTCCTCTGAGGTCCAGGGGCGGTGTGCTGTACCTGAGCAGCAGCAGGGTTATCTCTGGCTAATGCAGGTTGCGGTAACTATTTCTGCTCTTCCAGTTTCTGCCTCATACAGATGTGTTGGTTTGTTGTTTTTCTTTTGTCCCTAGGTTTGCCTATCCAAGTCCGGGATGCAGGACTCTCCCTTAAGGATGAAATGCCCAAGTCTGACGTCAATAAGGAGTACTACACCCAGAACATGGAACGAGAGGCAAGGAAGTGCAGTGACAATTACGCTGTCTGTGTGTGGATGTGTGCAGGGGAGGAGAGGGGAGAATGACCTAGTTTATCTTAAAACGATGTTCTTGCTCTGATTCTGTGCATTTGTTTTTAATGGTGATATGTACATAATTGGTTGTGTTTTCCCTCCTGGTTAGATATCCAATTCTGATGGCACCCGACCAGTGGGTGCGCTAGGAAAGGCTACGTCTACCAGCGACATGCTGCTGAAGCTGGCTCGGACGACGCCTTACTATAAACGTAACCGTCCTCACATCTGTTCCTTCTGGGTGAAAGGAGAGTGCAAGAGAGGAGAGGAGTGTCCCTACAGGTACAGACACAGCTTGAGCGGTCGGTCTGGTCACCACGGTCAGGTGCAGCTCCCCTGGGGTTTGGGGACAGGGGACACGGTGGTGACTGGGCTCAGCGGGAAGCTCGAGTTCAGCTGCAGCAGCGCCAGTGAATGGGTCTCTGTTGGGGCAGACTGGTGTGTGAGGACTTCGCTGCGTGGCCTCCTAGTGTTCTGCCGAAGCGGTGACTGCAGCTCTTCTCTTGCCTGGTTCAGTTTTTCCCTTTGTGGCATCAGTCCCCTCCGTCAGAGGTCTTTGTGTTTGAACAAGGGCCCCTGTGAAATCCAGCTCTTCTGTTCTGTGGCGTTGAACGCTGAGCTGTCAGAAGTGCCTTCGTTCAGAACCTGAGGCAGTCCTGGCTGCAGTTTAAGTTCTGGGGGCTTTTTGTTCCATTTTGGCGTATTTGCCTGAACAGGTTTAAGCACACAAGTGACCAGAGGAAGGGAGGGAAGGCAGCAGTTACAGTCATTTCGGTGTGATGCAGTTGTGACTGGTGTTATGAGATGCTTTGTTTGCTGAATTAGGCATGAGAAACCTACGGATCCAGATGATCCTCTGGCTGATCAGAACATCAAAGATCGTTACTATGGAATTAATGATCCTGTGGCTGATAAACTGCTGAAACGGGCATCGACCATGCCTCGCCTAGACCCCCCTGACGACAAGACTATTACTACGCTCTATGTTGGAGGGCTTGGAGATACTATCACTGAATCAGATCTCAGGTGTGTTGGTGAATTTGTATCGCCCTTGCCTTTTTATTTGACGCTTTGATTGCTGCTCGTCTTCAAGTGAGGAAGTCTCTCTTGCAAGGAAAAAAAAAAAAGATAGATCTGGTTTTCGGTTTTCCTTAATGGGGAACTGGTTGGTGAGCAAGTTCAGGGGAGTGCCAGCGTGTTGGAGAGCAGATGAACAGGCACATTTCAAATGCTTTGATTAAAATTTCTCTCTTTAAAGATGCGTCATCCTTCTGAGCTCTTTGGGATACTGTGAAACACTTTTCACAAGGAAGTCCCATAGCCTCTCTTGCTGCTGCGAGAAAAGCTGCTGCAGAGTTTTTATTGCTCCATAATTGCACAGAGGGGCAAGAGACTTGACTTCTAAGTCTGAGACTAAGACTCTTAGTCTGAACTGGTGATGGAGAAGAGAAAGGGTCTGAGTCTGTTTCAGCACATGAGGAGACCCTGTTATGCCATGTACCTTCCAGCTAGGAGGCGTGGGGTTTCATAATGGGTTTTTTTTTGTCCCACAGAAATCACTTCTACCAGTTTGGGGAGATCCGGACGATAACGGTGGTGCAGAGGCAGCAGTGTGCTTTCATCCAGTTTGCCACCCGGCAGGCTGCGGAGGTGGCTGCTGAGAAATCCTTCAACAAACTCATTGTCAACGGCCGCCGGCTCAACGTCAAGTGGGGAAGGTGAGTGCCGGGGGAGGAAGCCTTGAGGATGCTGCCACAAGGTTCTTCCCTCAGTTTGTGCAGCCTTGATGAGCGGGATGGTTTGTTGGCTGGAACAGACGCTGGTTTGGTTGGTAGCTGGGGTCCTCTTACAGCTTGGTTTTATTTTAGCAGTGGGATGTGGGCTGGAGATGACCCAGATTGCATCGATTGTGTGAGGGGTTTCCTGGCTGAGGGTTATGGATGTGTTTCTGTAGTTTTGCTTCTAATCCAGCTCCTGTGAGGGCTGTTTGCACGCTTTGTACCGGCTGTCTCTGATGTTCTATGAAGCAATGAATCTGGATTAGATGAGGTGAAACTGTTGTGGTGTGAATATCTGTTTATCCAGCCTTTCCTCATCCTTGTTCTCAAACTTGTGTCTGGTTTGTAGGTCCCAGGCAGCAAGAGGGAAAGAAAAGGACAAGGAAGGTACTACAGAGTCTGGGATAAAGCTGGAGCCGGTTCCAGGACTTCCTGGAGGTAAGGGAATTGTTTCCATCTCTGAAACACGTAATGCTGACCTGCTTCTGTGAGAGAGGCTGGTGTTAAACCTCTGAGAGCGGTGACAGAGCTCAGGACAGTAGAGGCACTGGTGAGCCCAGAGCAGTTACTTCCAGTAGGTTTGCCATAGTTCCAGCTGGGCTGGGAGGCGAGCTTTGTCTAGAAGCAAATACTTGTTGAAAAGAGAGTTCTTTGTGTGGTGACTGAAAAGTTAAAGCTCAATTGAAGTTACTTAGGGCCGAGGTACTGGCAACTTATGCTTTTGAAGGCTTGGTTAATGTTTTCCTAATCCACTGAGCGTTGTAGGATGGAGAAAGCAAAGCTGGTTTCGGGTGAAGGAGAGTGGTGACTGTTCTGGAGTTCCAGTGCAGTCCTGCTTCTCCGTACATGCCATCAGCAGCAGTTTGCCCACATGGGAGACCGGATGGTGCCTGCTCTCTGAAGGCAGGTACCTCTGCCTGTCCCGACCGAGAGATTTTCCGTAACCGCCGTGTGCTTTATCTGCAGCTCTCCCCCCTCCTCCGGCTGCAGAAGAGGAGGCTTCTGCGAATTACTTCAACCTACCTCCCAGTGGCCCTCCAGCCGTGGTGAACATTGCCCTGCCGCCTCCGCCGGGCATCGCTCCGCCACCACCTCCAGGTACTCGCGTTTCCCCTTCCCGCGGGGGCGTCTCGCTCGGGGCAGTCAGTCTCGGCCTGGCCTGGCTGCGCTGTAGCAGCGATCCGAGCTGATTTTCCTCATCCCTGATCCTGCCATGTGAACTGATGATCTGAAATGAGCTGTCAGCACAGTTTAATTAAACCGAGCTGCCTGCTGTGGTATGGGTTCACTTGCGAATTCTCAGGCATGTCAGAGATCCCTCTTCCTGATACTGAGACCTACGGAGAGCTCTTGCTGGCTGTGTAAATGCCACGCTAACCTGAGCTTCAGAGGGTAATTCTGCAGCTGCTTGGACGCCAGCCTGTGTTTGGCTGTGTGTATCTGTCTGTCTGGAGACCCTGATTTTGATGGGACATCAGACTCTTGTGGATGTGTTTGCTCCGTGGTTGAGTAGAAAGCGTTTAGGCTGGCATTGCAGGCACCTGTCCAGTCCCCTCAGCAGCTTTTATCTGTGAGTAAGGATGTGTGTGGGGTAAGGATTGCCCCCAGCTTTACTGGGAAGAGGTGGAGGAGTTTGAGGATGTGCAGAATCACGGGGGATGTGCACCTTTCTAAGGCACAGCTGTAAGCCAGCTGTTTTTCTGTCGGTACATCTGTGGGGGTTGTTCCGTTGCTTTGTCCGAAGCGGCCAACTTTTGTTTCTGCAGGTTTCGGACCACACATGTTCCACGCCATGGGGCCCCCTCCTCCCTTCATGAGAGCCCCGGGCCCCATTCACTACCCGTCTCAAGATCCCCAGAGGATGGGTGCCCACGCGGGAAAGCACAGCAGCCCCTAGCACGTCGTGCCGCCCTCATCGTTGCAGTAAATGTTATTTTCTAGTTGCCATGGTAGCACCATATGTTGAGCTGTGGGTGAGCTAGAGAAGCCGTGTTTCCCTGCTTGCAGCCGC